AGTATATATCAATATGTGTATTTTGTAGCCTACAAAAATTAGAAGAAGTGGATGAACTTTTTAGAAAAATTGATAAAAGATAATGTTAAATCACAATAATATGTTTAAACTTTTAAATTGAAGACAATAATCATAATTTTCATTTTTTTTCGTATAAATATTTATGCTCCATTGTCAATGATTTTTACACAATAATATTCTTCTCATTAATGCTGATAAATATCCATAAAATCAAAACAAAACAAATTAATAATGTCTAATGGTAGACATAAAGTGAACTTAGTTTGTATGGATTTACTACAATAGGACTGAAATTTTTTTAACAACACATAATCATATTAATTTTTTATTAACATTGTTCGTCACTGAAAAATACAAAACAAAAAAAACTTTTTCCTTTTATTTGTAATATAATAATCATTCTATTATTGCAAAAGGAAAATAATCTTTACAAGATTTTGAATATTGGTCTGTATCAAGTAAAACTAATTCACTTATTTTGGTACAATTAATTCGTGTATTATCTCTTGTAAAATCATATGTTACTCTTTGTAATGCTTCATAATGAGTTCAAAGAGTAATATTATTTTGAAAATATGTTTTCATATCACATAGAAATTCTTCAATATAACAATCATGAGATCGATCTATATGAAGTTCAACATGATAATTATATTTAGCAATTGATAAATTCGATTTAGCATTCATTAATTTATAAGAATCTTTCTGATTTTGTACATAACGATTAAAGATAGATAATTTTTCCATAAATGGAAATGATTGAGCAATTCGAATAAAAAAATCATGTTCAAAAGGTTGTTCATCATATAATGATACAACACGTACATATGGATATAAACCACCTGGAAAATTGTTTGATATATATTCGTAATAGTTCGTTAGAGATGGATATGTATTAATATGACATTGACCATATTTATAAGGCTCCTGGAAATAATCAACACAAGATATTATTTTAGTATTTTGAAAAAGATTAAATGTTTGTTGAATGTCTTCTGTCGATGGTAAGTTCATTTGATTCTTAATAGACATAGATGAATAAATATCAAATGTAAATTCATTTAATTGTAACATATGATTAAGTATATTTTCTTTCAAACTGTTTCCATCAATAAATGTTTCTTCGACATTGACCGAAATATTCAAATCAAGTTTTGCTAAATTTGACATTCGATAAAGTAGCGGTAAAATTAATTCATTGTAATACCATATTTTTGAAATACAAGAAAA